TACTTTGCCCTCCACCACCACACATCCCTCCCTCCCCCCACATCCCCCATTCCCACTCTGCTCAGGCTCCCCTTCTGTCTCTGTGAAGCCCTCTAAAATGTTATCCTATTTGATAAGTACAAGTTGTTCTTCTGGTTGTTTCTATGATGACTGCTATCGATGGCTTTATGCTGTTGATATAATGATCTTCAGTCTTGTCAGTAGAAATATCCTATCCATAGGTGACAACATGGATTGACCACAAGAGGTCACTGCTTCATTGGCGATGTTAAACTTCAGGTGAGACGTGAAACCATGCCTTCCTCGAACGATAGACAACATGTTAAAATCCAGGGTAGACATCAGAGGATAACAACAACAACTTGCATTTATATAGCGCCCTTCCAGAGCGCTTGACAGTGGTGGAGCACAACACGGAGCCGGGGGATGGGTGGGGGAGCAGGTACTGAATTGGGGACTCAGTAGGTCGGAGAGATAGGGAAGTGCCAAGGGTGTGAAGGGGTTTGAAAACGAGTGTGAGAATGTTGAAATCGATCCGTTCAGGGACAGGGAATCAGTGGAGCCTGACTACAACTGGTGCCATGGGGGTACAGAGTTCACTTCGGGTGAGTATGCGGAAGACGGAGTTTGGATCCTGTGCATAGTGGAACTGGGGAGACCGACAAAGAGGCATTTTGTATTATTGTTATTATTATTATTTTGGGGTTGTTTTTGGCCTCCAAAATTATTTTGGGATAAGCGGCAGTTTCGGCCTGCCTGAGGAGAAGCTGAGAGATGAGGAGATCCTTGAGCCACAGCTGGAGGTGGATAAATCGGATTGGACAAAATTTCACGTTGATATTTTTGTTTTCAGTTTCTGGTTCATGTGACTATAAATGAGAAACAGGAGTTAATTGAGTTACCCCCCAATCACCATTTGACAAAAAAAAAAGTGTTGAATTACCAACAAAATTACATTCGTAAAATTACAATTAAGTGCATCAACTCAATTCAGAATAACTTATGTATCTTTTTTATTCAAATGTACTAAATACTGTATAATAGAAATATAGTTTTACTGGATAAAAACACAATTGTGCCCAATATTCAAACCTGCAGAGGACTCGGGCCTGTTTATGTCTAACTTCTGGTTCAGTGATGGTTATATGTTATGAAATATAGCGCAGGGTTGCTTTGGAAACATATAAGTTCTTTGATTTCGAAATCATGTCGTTATTTGCGAATCGCAGCGCGTGGAGCTTCATAAATGGCTTTAGTGCTCCAAATAAAAACGAGTGTCCCCCTATTGCACTGTAGTTTACACGCTTCGCGGCGCAGTGACTACGAGAGTTAATGCTGATTAAAGCATATGGCACTGGTAAACAGGGTATGTTGTTATCTGAGAAGGGCTGAGAAGACACACTCGCCTCCAGAAAGCACACAGTTGTTGCTGAGAGTTTCCCACGTGCCGCGATGAAAGACGTGTTTAAAGGTCGCAACCCCCCGACAAAGCAAATGCGCTAATTCGCCTACAATCAAACGCGCGCATGTTCTCTTTACCAGGTGATTCGTTATCCAAAAAATAACGCCACCGTTAACCAATCACGTTTACAACACAGGTATTGCAGCGGGCGAAGAGTTCACTTTGAATTTAAAGACATTTCCAGCATGCTTCAAAATATCATTTTCGGTACCAGAAACAGTCTTTGTAATTAAGAATAATTTGAGGCTCTTCATCTGGAAAGTAGTGCACGAGGACGCACAAATTTAAATAGTCTTGCTGGAATATTTACCTAAGGGGTGGAAATGATAACTGCAGGTATTCCCCAGGGTATTGAATGATAATAATCGTTGCATTTCATAACTCACAGATGTATTCACCTGCGCATGTTATGAAATCAGACAGAAATGTCCGTTTCTGGAGGGAAAGGGGTGCTATGTAGTTTAGCTTCTGTTTAATTCTAAACCGTTTCGGCTGTCTTTGTGAGCATCGTTTTCTCTTGTCAGTTTCCAGCAGTTTTGGATTATGAAGGATCCACTCAATGCAATATATATATATATACATACATACATACACTTAATTGATTAATGTAACTGTGGTGAGACTCATGATATTGAAATGAATAGAAATTACCCTTCCACTATAAACCATGTCTACATGTTCGTGTAACCAAAGCACTGGAAACTTAATGTAATCACCGTAGCAAAACAAATGTATCAGATACATTAATAGCGTTATACAAGCTTCAAGTACTATTTCGGTTTTGAATACTGAAGCATAATTAGCGTTTTTTTATAAAAAAATCTACATAATCTATGAATTGCGCATGTGTCTGAACCAATGTTTCTGTGCTGATGAGTGAGAGTAACAATCTCTATTGAACTGTTCCCTGAGATTAGGGGCAGTGCTGAGATAGCTGAACCTGACTGTTTCCCACGTGTCGATAAACAAAAGAGATCCCACGCAGCTGTGCATTTCAATAGACACTAAATCGTGTCATTTATCCGGACATAAAACACCGAACAGTTGGTGAAATGGGTCTGCTCCACTTCACTGAATGATTGCAATGTAGAATCTTCCCAATGTACAAATTTATATATACATTCAAACCCGCACGCGTGCCTGCATAATAACAAATAATAACGACCTGCTATGAAATAGATATTTCTACTCATTTCTATAAAACTTTTTTTTAAAATGTCTCAACGGAGATGCATCCACGTCTTAACCTTTGATTCAGAATTGTAGCAATACAATTGCAATATCCTTGTGAATGCAGAAACATATAAATTTAAAAAAAGCATATTTTCCTATTAATTGCAAGTTACTGCGTAAACAATCGATAGACATTTTGTCTTCCCAAACAAAAAGCCTTCTGGAGACAATAAGAACGAACAAACGGTAATTTGGTATTTAGGACATAAAACGCAATAAAAGTAACACAGGAAATAGTCACTTAACTCAATAAACGCGTGGCGTTTTCATTGTTCTCATCCTATCTGCCTCCTTTCTCGCCAAAGCTTTCGGTCGCTTCGCCTTCGAGAAACACATTCTCTTGAATCTCTTTCTGTCTGCTAACCAATTCCAAAATCAAACCTATTACCATAAAATGTGTGTGAAAAGTTCTAACTGGTTTCCTTTCTTGTTCCTTACTGCTTTTTTTAAAAAAAATGTTGTCTCTCTGGTATTTTAAAACGTCACCACTAAATAATTTATCAGGTTCAATCTCGTCAACTCCCCTTCGTCATCGTACAACGTTTGATCAGTTCACCTCACAGTCTCTAGTAAAAAATAGGCAATTTCTGAAGACCATTGGTAAGATAATTTAGAAACATCTTTCCTATTCCTAGGCCAACTTTCTATCCAACACCATACTGTATCCCCTGTCCTTGACTCATTGAATTCTTATTTAGCCATGAACTACCGATGTGAAACCAAATAATACAAAAGATTCAATGAAAATCCAAGTGTATATGACTGTCATAACTACTGTGCACTATATCACTAATATTTTCAACATAATTTAATAAGTTGGTGGAACATTGATGTCCGCATATTGGTTGCAGCGTTTGTCCAAAGATGCACAGTCACATCAGTTTACAGTATACCATGTGAAGCTTTTGAGACGTCTCATCGACGTAATAAGGTGCAATGTCAAAATGCAAGGATTATTAATCTTATTAAATATATTATCATTACCACTATAATCCCAATTTTCTCTTTCAGAACCCACGATGACACTTCAAATAAAGTTTGCATTTCCATATGTTCAGCCTCCAGATCTCTCAACACAGTTCAGAGATTTTCCTGCAGCCAATGTTAAACGTAATGGTTCGCAATTTCCAAATATGTCTGGTGAATTTTTTTTAATAATGGCATAAAGTTAGCAAATTTCGAGACCTCAGGAATGTCTCTTGAATTTATTGAAAATGCAAAACAGCATTAATTGTATTTTCCATTTGCTTTACGAGTCGTGGATTGATGGACTTTTCACGATCGGGTATTTAATTTGGGGAGTTATTTAAAATAGGTACCTGTAGCATGTTATTAGTAATGTGCTTATTTTCTGTGGTGTTCTGGAAACGCACACAGAGAGAGATATTCAATTATATCTTCACTCAAAATGGGTTCACAAATGGATTGCACAACATTATATTTAATTATAAACACGTTTTGTTTCCAGCAATCTTAAGTAATGTTAAATTCTCATAGAATAACTGCTAATGGAAATGTATTACGAAGGTCTGCAAAAGAAAATCCTGCAGTTTTGCCTTCTACACAGTTTATTTTTAGTTGGCTCTCAAATAATGTACTGTATGATTACTATGCAAGAAAATGCTATAGATCACAATTGAAGCATCTTCTATATTTTATGACTTTTTAAAAAATAATCTTTTAAAAAATTGGATTCGTTGAGCTAAAATATTCTTACGTAGGGCACTTTTATAGTTTCCTTCCTGGAGTATCAGGGGAGGAGTTGTGTTTAAATCAGAAAGGCTGCAGATCACATTTAAAGTATCTTCTACATTTTTTGACTTTCAGCTAAATTAATCTTTAAAAAATCGATTCGCTGAGATAAAATATTCGTTTAACATTATCATCCACAGGAATAATAGGCAGTTAGCGACGAGATAACATCTGCCGTGAGGAATTCTTTTCTTCGGGGCAGAATCGAAAGAGTTAAGATGAACCAGGGGTGTAAGAGCAGCATATTTTCCTCTGTAATAAAATTCTTTGTGCAACAGTAACGGGAGGAGCTTTCCCAGGGTCCTATAACCTCAGATGAGAGTAATTGCCTCGGATTTACTCTGTCATACGTGCTGTCCAGATGGTCCTTGGAGACTATCATAGAACAAAAGAACGAAAACTGCCATTTAGAAAGAAACGCTTCCCCTATTGTTGCTCCCAAGGCAATCATTGGCCTCTGAGTGTGGGAAACGCCGAAGGAAACTGGCACACACTTTCTTAATGACACGGGGAGGTATAAATAGAGGGAGGCAGTCGGCTTGAGACTGCAGAACCACAGTGGGCAAACCCAGCCACAGTTCCTCTGGCAGCTTACCCGATAGCACAATCTAAAGGCATGGCCCCTCATACCTCAAGCGTCATCACGAGGGAATATACCGAAGAAAAGGTCACCAGGAAAGAGAAGTACAAGGTAACAGCAGCTTCCCTAACACGAAAGATGTCTTGTGTTGCTGAATCAGTGAATATCATGTGCTGTGCCTTGACATGTCATGTTAATGCTAAATCTCTTGTTTGTTTTTTCTCTCTTCCCCAGTTGATGAAACCAGTGATAGAGAAAAAGCGCCGGGATCGAATAAACCACAGCATCGAACAGCTGAAGACTTTACTGGGAAGAGAGTTTCAGAATCAAGAACCAAACATGAAACTGGAGAAGGCGGACATCCTAGAAATGACAGTGAATTTCTTGAAGCTTCACAACCAGCGCCTATTCACAGGTACTTAATACCTTCTTGAGTGATAGATAAATGGTGTTCTTGAGCGGATGTTACCATTGCGACCCCGTTAGCCCTGCGAACCGTTCTCTGAATCTCACTCTGTTTGCTTTTGTTTACCTGCAGTGACTTACACGACGAGTCTAACGCAGAATTACAACGAAGGATACTCGCGCTGTCTCCAAGAGATTCAACAGTTTTCTTTTGCACAAGAGAGCAAGAATGACATTCAGAGGAAACTCGTGACCCATTTGCACGGAGCTCAGAATCCACCCGTGGACCCGTGTGATCCCGCACCCGCTCTACCCGCTGTGCCCCATCAGCCGGACACAGCCAACAAGCAGACAGCCCACCCCAGCACCAAAGTGCTTTGGAGACCCTGGTAGAGGGAGGTGGGCCACGTGTGGACTCATTTCCCAGAACTCTGAGAGCAGTTACCCAACACTGGAGGTGTTTCTCTGGTGTCGAGAGGTATTCCAGAATGGAAGGGAGTGTGACTTTATTGTCTTCACATTGAAGAAGATGTGTCCTTTTTCGATTTATAATTTAATGTTAAATGGTGTATTTTGATGTACCGTCATAGTCTATGACATGTACTCTTCTACAATATTTGTAGGTGACTGAAACCATACCTAAAACTGACAACTAACTCGGCGTTGATATCGCCTGCTGTTATATGTAGGCTGTACCTGCACCGATGTTGTTCTTTTATAAAGAAGTGTCAGTGGTGTGTTTTAAGTAGTCTTCTTACTGAGGAGTGTTTTCATCTTTTAAAAGGTGGATGTGTATGCATATTTCTATATGATTAAAGTTTTATAGTGTATTTTTTTCTAAATGTTGGTATAAATCCATTTGATTGCAATGCTCTGCATTCTCGTTCGGATCAGAGCTGTTTTCTGCTGTTTTACAGTTTTCATATTCTTAAACAAGTTCATCATATTTCCAATAGTTTGTTATCTTTATTGGAAATAATATTTATCTGTCTACTGTGTAAATACAACCTGCATTGTTACAATGCTTCATCTGAACATACTGTTTGCTGCATTTGTCCATTCGATCCCACATGTCTCGTAAATGGGAATAAGACCTGCATTCACAAATCTGTGTTTAATTGAGTATTTCATTGTAACAATGCTAAATGCGAATAAATGAGTGTGTTCAAATACTGTCTACTGCGTGATCGATTAACATATACTGAGGCTGTTCTGTCATTTGTATTACCCCCACGTGTACGTGCATCCAAACACATGGGTGACACAGAGTCATCGAGTGTTAGCAAGATCCTCCCCTTCCCTCATCTAAAATCCAGTTCGGAAATCTTTACATCTTTACTTTCAAATTAAAGTGTTGAATTATCTTCCAATAAACAGCAAGGCACATATCATTTGATATTTAAAACAAAACACAGCTAGGATTGCATATAATATCTCCATAGGCAAAACAGATTAACACTTAAATACTTACATTTAAATTGTACGAAAATCTACCATTTAAAAAAAATCTACCAAAAATAATTCCCACTATATAGAATTCAAGGCTTACTTACAGGCTGTTTGAACCTGCCATGATAATACACTATTTATACAAATAGTTTGTCTTCTATGAAACAGTTGTCAATAGATTGTTACCGAATGATTAGAATTTCACGTTCAAATGTACCGATTCTTATTTGGACATTAGTTAGACCACAATTACATGGTGTTTTTTGTCAACCTTTATGGCAGGCAACACGAACTAACTAACTAACTAACTAACAATGACCCTGCAATGAGTAGATAGATACCACTGGATTGATCTTCTGTTTACATCACCAGTCCACTTTCCACAACGAAAATATTACCAGAGATAAAGACTGAATACTAAGAATGAGGAACGATGGAATTGCTTAATCATTATTTACCTTTAGTTTCGACGTAGGTATGCGAACGTATGCTTGTTAGAGAGAATTATTCAGCGAAAAATATTATTGGAACGTTCGAAGAGAAAACGTTATTGGACCCAATGGTATAACTCTCTTAATGCTGCTGAAAGTCAGGGAAGAGATAGTGGAGGCCCTGACCATATGCTTTCCAAACATCCTTGGAAACAAATACTATGCCGGAGAACTCGAGGGTGGTTACTGCAGTGCGCTTGACCAAGAAGGACCAGGGACTGTGAGGAAGAATACAGGTGACTAGAAAACCAGAATAGATTGGTGTCCTGTTCAATCTTTATACTTCGGATAATTGGTGGAATGGTCAGAAAGTTGGCAAATGGAATTCAGTACACGAAATACATGTTGGGTAGAAAAACAGAACAACAGCAGCAACAAATTACACTTGAATAGCGCCTTTCATATTGGAAAGACGTCCCAGGGCGCTGGACACTTAGGGTTTTTGGACCCCTGAAGGAATTACATCATACATTTTAAGACGTTTCACGGAATGGAGAGGGACAGAGACCAACGAATAAGATATTTACGATTTTTAAGAAAATGGAATTTCCAGATCTATCTTAAACTTAAACCGAGTTCATCCCAAACCCCAGGCTCGGGGGCAAACCGGTAACTGTCCAGTGCCTTTTGACGTTCTTGCAACGTGAAAGGCGCTCTATAAGTGTAATTTGTTGTTGTTGAACTCCGAACTATAGAGATTGAACGGAACACCAATCTATTTGACTTTTTCCATGAGAATCGCAGTCACTGCTACTGAGCCAATTATATTTGTCCAGTGCTTTAAATTCCAATTGTTATTAGGGGTTTTAGACCAAGTGCGAATCTAAAAGGTGAATGACTGCTCCAGGTAACTGATCCTTTTTGAGCCACCGGATTCAGTACAACTGCGGCATCTGGTCCTACGCCCTGCAGATGTTCCCCTGACACTGCGAGCTGTCATTGCTGTGTCATCGTTTACAAACCCTTCTATGTGTCTGATGTTGTTTGAAGGTGAATGTGAGGCGGCGGCTGCAGATTCTTTCCCACGCGTTGGAGATTAGCAGAAGTCCTGTCTTTAACAGCTGCACTGACAGCACAAAAGCACTCAACTCGGTCACATGCAATTGAAAGGGGTTGAGAGACTCAGCGTGGGAACGGGTGAGATACACTTTATAAGTCTTTTAAAAGGCTTTTGCAGGTGTTATTTTATATGTAAATTTACCATTAATATGTCGTCTGCCTCGGTACAGCTCGAAGCTATTTTTTTTCTTTCTTATCCAACCACGGCCTTGTTTGCTAAATATAATTTCCACTGAGTTGGTGGGCACTGAGCCACCTCGGGGCTGTCAAGTTTTACAGACACGGTTTGGGAGTTAGATTGAGATTAATGGCGTCTGCCGGGAGAAGATGCCAACGTTTGCCAACATCTTATTAAACGGGGGAGGGAGGCTGTTATTCCCTTTAATTTCCCACACGGGAAACATGACTGAAAACTACACCAAGTTATACCCAGTTATTGGAGTGGGCGGAAAGGTGGCAAATGGCACTCAACACATAAATGTGAAATAAAAGCATTGGGCACTCCCTCGTTGCCAGTCTCTCAGCACTGTGTTGCTGTGCCATCTCGCCTATGTGAGTTCAAAGTCTGACTCAGAGGCAAGAGTGCTACCAATGGAGCCAAGCTGACACAGGCAAGATACCTAATACCTTTTTTTCTCTCACAATTCCCTTTTTCACCGAGACTGTACAAACAGAAACTCAATTTAGGAAGCATATCAGAGCCATGGAAAGGGCACAGAGGAGATTTACCAAGGTTATACCACAGGCCATTGGCTTGATGTAGGAGCGGAAACTGCAGGAATTGGGGTTTTGGAAAAGAGAAGGCCGTAGAGGGCGTAGAGATGTCTAAAACTATGAGGAGTTTTAATGGGGTCAATAAGGAGAAATAGATTCCTGTGGAGATCAGTGACTGGAGCGCACCAGTGTATGATTACTGTATTAGCAAATGAGAAAAGGGGGCAATTAGGGGGTTTGTTTTACACAGAGAGTTGATAGAATGTTCTTGAATTTAGCTACCAAAGGCAATCAACAATGAGATTTCCATAAGCATTTATAAAGAGCGCAGTATGCCCATTAGTACAGTACGAAGGTATAATTCTTTATCCAAGTCATGATCCTTTCGTATAGTTTATTATTTATATGATGAACAGTACAAGTAAACCCAACACACATTCCATGGAGTTCCTGTGCACATCGTCAGGGCAAATAATCATCTTCTTGCTTTTTGCCTGTGACTGAGACAATATCAGTTGTTGGTCCCCTCACTTTGTGAATCGTTTTGTTGATATATTGAATATATAATTCAGGGGCGTCAAACCAGGGGTGACAGGGCTGATCATCGGGGAGTCCTCACCTCTGTCAGTCAAGCTAATGACTCCCCTATCTTGAAGGGGACATGTTGAGTCAATTTTACTTGAAACGCAATGTTCTATACACTACTGTTTTATTTGGGTTATTTTAATATAATAAGTAATTTAACACGCGTGTGAGTGTGTCTGAATCTGTTGACCATCATGGTTGGATGGGAGGAAATGGGGAACCAAATCAAAGCAAGTCCTAAACAAGGGATAATCACTGTTATTGAAGTACTGACGACTGTTAAAGTTAACTCATCTAAACTGACACCAGACACCTGTTCCGGACAGTGATTTGCAAATTCTGTTAAAATATCTATTCTGTAGATATTTCCTACAGTGGGGTGGGGGGAAGTCCCTTTGGTAGAACCGAAGCGGAACAAAATATTGTATAGTCTGATAACCTTCGTGAGTATTTTCAAATACAAAAACAATCGAACATGATAAATCATTTTCACAGTGAAATGTTCGCCACATATCCCTGCACTGTCGACTCGATCAACCCCGCATTAACTGAATTTATCTGCATAGTCGGCAGAATCTATTCAACTTACAGAATCTTTTTAGGCTGTTAACAATTTCCGCTCTATTACATGTGTAACTTTATGGCTTAATGATATGTTCCATACAATTGGTCAAACAAGTGATATGAATAGCACCGGCTATATATATATATATATATATATATATCCGTATCGCTGGGAACACGCAGCAGATTAGGCAGCAACTCTGGAGAGAAGAAGGTCGGGTCAGGCAGCATCCATGGATGGAGGAAAATGAGTTGACGTTTCAGGTCCATGACCTTTCTGGGTTTACACCAGATTTCCAGCATCTGCAGTACTTTGCCTCTTGTTCTGGAGAGAAGAAAGTGAGTTAACGTTTCAGGTCGATGACATTTCGTCAGAACTACTGTTACTCTATTCACGTATTGCATATCCGTCTTTCCCTTTTTTTTTCTAACATTGTTCTTGTTGTGTTGACTTCAATCTGATTTCACAGAAGTAATAAAATACATATACAATACCACATACGCTCATAAAGAGCTTTTCACGTTGGAAGGACTTCTCGTGTGAGAAGGTGGAGAGCTGAAGAAAGGTTCGGGGTTAGATGATGGAAAGCACTGGTCAAAGTTTTAAGTTGAGCTTCAAGAGTGGATGGGAGGGGACAAGTTAGTGGGACTTCGGGGTGGGTTGGGGTCGGAATGGTTGAAAGCTCACCCACAACAACAAGATTCCATTTATTGAGCGTCTTTCACGTCGGGAGGACGTCCCAAGGCGCTGTACAGTTGGGTCAGGACCCGAGCAAGGGGGAAATGGTGAGGGGAGGGAAGGGAGGGAGCGAGGAGGGGGTAGAGAGTTGAGAGGGGAGCTGAAGGCATGGTCAAAGAGAAAGGTCTTGAGACCGGCCTTGAAGGAGGAAAGGGAGGAGGCGGCGAAGGCACTGGGGGATGGAGTTCCAGAGCCTAGGGGCTGAGAGGCTGAAGGCCCGGCCACCAATGAAAGGTGCAGCGGACATGAAGCAGGCTGAAGGAAGAGAGGTAGGGTCATTATGGTTGTAGGAGGTTTGGGGAGGATGGGGGGCGGCTATGGAGGGAATAGAATGTGAGGATGAGGATCTTGAATTTGATCCACCAAGGGATGAGGAACTAATGGAGCTGAGCCCTAAGCCAAAGTCAAAATGGGTAGCGTGGTCCCAGCTGGACAAGCAGTGGAGCTGAGTGAGATTGTCTGTTATGTCTGGATGTTTCGCCCACAAAACATACAGACACTTTACAGTATATTCTGTGAAGCGCTTTGAAACTTCTCGAAGATGTGATAAGGT